TTGTAAAAGTACGAGATCCCCAGGCCCCACCTGGAAGCTGGCAACCCTGGTGTAGAGGCAATGTCATATGGTCATAGTTATGACGTTCGTGTGTCCCGGAGTGGGCTCAACAGGAACTGCCTTTCAAGACCCAAATATCTGGTTTGTTCAACAATATACTTGCGGGGGGAAATACTAGATCAAATACCAGATTGTTGACAGTGTGGTTTCAAACACTGCTACATCCAGCCTCTGCTTCAAGGCTTTGTATTTGATCCCAGAGAGCCTGTCTGAAGCCCTAAATTGAGAACTGGGGTCTTTCCTTGGTCAGTCTTGAAAGAAGTCAAGAATGAGGGGGGTTGCAGTGCCAGGGGATGGCCACAAGATGGCACTTGATGACCAAGAATGAAGAGTAAGTAAAGGTAAAGGTTCCCTTGCTGGAAAGCCAGTCGAATCCGACTCTAGGGTTGCTGTGCTCATCTCCATTTCAAAGCCGAAGAGCCAGCGCTGTCCGAAGACGTTTCCGTGGTCATGTGGCAGGCGTGACTAAACACCAAGGCACACGGAAAGCTGTTACCTTCCCACTGAAGTGGTACCTATTTATTTACTTGCAATTTCTTGCTTTCCAACTGCTAGGTTGGCAGGAGCGGGAACTAGACACGGGAGCTCACTCCGTCATGCGGCACACTCGGGTCTCAAACTGCTAAACCACTGATACTGAACTGCAGGCTGTGGAAGAATGAAGAGGCTGACTTGCAAAACGCTGGATTTGCCCTGTATCTTGTAATGGGTGATGCGGTCATTTTAAGGGCTTCAGGAGGGGGACATCGACTGGGTATAAGGCCATAGAGTCCACCTTCCAGAGCAGCCGTTTTTGTCCCAGGGAACTGATCTCTCTAGTCTGGACTGGAGATCAGTTTTAGTTCCAGAAGATCTCCAAGCAGGGTATGGGCGTGTGTGTGTGTGTACACCCGTGCAATGCCATAGACTCCCTCCTCCAAAGCAGCTATTTTCTTCGGGGAAGCTAAACTCTGCAGTATGGTTGCCAGTTGCAATTCCAGGCACCACTTGGGAAGTTGGCAACCGTGTGGGTTGCCAGCTCTGAGTGAGAAGAAAATGAGATTGGATTTATACCCTGCCCTTCACTATCTGAAGGAGCCTCAGAGCAGCTTACGATCCTCTTTCCTTTCCCCTCCCCACAGCAGACACCCTGTGAGGTCGGTGGGGCTGAGAGAGCTCTGACAGAACTGTCCTTGAAAGAACAGCCCTGACAGAACTTGTGACTGACCCAAGGTCACACCAGCAGCTGCATGTGGAGGAGTGGGGAATCGAACCCGGTTCTCCCAGATTAGAGGCCGTGCTCCTAACCACCACCAAACTGGAGATTTTGGAGTGGAGAGGAAGGTTTCGGGAGGGGATAGTGATCAGCTGGTTATAATACCATAGAGTCCACCTTCCCAAACAGATCTCGGTCGTCTGGAGATCATCGGTGTTTCTGTGAGATCTCCAGGCCCCACCTGGAGGCTGGCAAGCATATCTGACTCAGTATATAATACGATGTTCATGTGGCAAGGAGTTGCATCCACAGGCACCGCCTTTCAGACACAAATATCTAGTTCATTCAACAGTGTAACTGTGGGGAAAATACTGGATAAAATACCTGTTAATCGACAACCCCACAATGACGTTTCAGACACTCTCTCAACTCCAGAGAGCCAGTTTGGTGTCGTGGTTAAGTGCACGGACTCTAATCTGGGAGAAGCGGGTTTGATTCCCCACTCCTCCACTCGCACCTGCTGATGTGACCTTGGGTCAGTCACAAGCTCTGGCACAGCTGTCCTTGAAAAAGAGCCATTTCTGTCAGAGTTCTCTCAGCCCCACCCACCTCACAGGGTGTCTGTTGTGGGGAGGGGAAGGGAAAGGAGTTTGTAAGTCGCTCTGAGACTCCGAGTGAAGGGCGGGGAATAAATTCAATCTCTTCTTCTTCTTTTACCTCACAGGGTGTCTGTTGTGGGGAGGGGGAGGGAAAGGAGTTTGTGAGCCGCTCTGGGACTCCAAGTGAAGGGCGGGGTATAAATCCAATCTCTTCTTCTTCTTTTACCTCACAGGGTGTCTGTTGTGGGGAGGGGAAGGGAAAGGAGTTTGTGAGCCGCTCTGAGACTCCGAGTGAAGGGCGGGGTATAAATTCAATCTCTTCTCTTCTTCTCCATCGGTCTTTGTCCTTTCACAGAAGGCCCAGCTGTAGTAGCCCTAAACCGAATCCTTTTGGTTCCATCTTCTCCTCTTCCTCCAGAAGGGATCAAGAGAAGCCAAAAGAGAGTGTTGTGGTACCAGAGGAAGGCCACAGGGTGGCGGTAGATGAACAAGAATGAGAAAATGCAGCCCCCCCCCCCCAAATGTTCTCAGAAATGTTGATCACACAAAATGGTCCTGCTGGGGAATCATGGGATATATGTGGGGAAAAGCCAGGTACATGGCTGTAGTAAGAATTGGTTGAGATTTGAGAGAAATGTTGGCTGGAACGCACTTCTCTAGTCACAAATCTTGACCTAAAGATTGGGAGAAATATTAAAGACTCTCTATACTACTGTATATAGTTTGGTGTAGTAAAGACAGTTTGGTGTAGTGGTTAAGAGTGGTACATTCTAATCTGGAGAACTGGGTTTGATTTCCCCCCTCCTTCACATGCAGCCAGCTGGGTGACCTTGGGTCAGTCACAAGTTCTCTCAGAGCGGTTCCCTCAAGAGCAGTTCTTTCAGCCATACCTACCTCACAGGGTGTCTGTTGTGGGGAGAGGAAGGGGAGGTGGAGGAGGAGGAGACTGGATTAATACCCCACCCTTCACTCGGAGTCTCAGAGCGGCTTACAAACGCCTTCCCCTTCCCCGCCCCACAACAAACACTCTTGAGAGGTAGATGGGGCTGAGAGAGCTCTTTCTAGAACTGTCCTTGAGGGAACCGCTGTGAGACAACTTGTGACTGACCCAAGGTCATCCAGCAGCTGCAAATGGAGGAGTGGGGAATCAAAACCCTTTAAACCAAACTGGTTTTACTACACCAAACTATATACAGTAGTATAGAGATTAGACTGTAAACCGCTCTGAGATTCCATTGGGTAGTGAAGGGTGGCGTATAGAACCAACTCCTGCACATGCAGCCAGCTGGGCAACCGTGGGTCAGTCACAAGTTCTCTCAGAGCGGTTTTCTAAGAGCAGTTCTCTCAGAGCTCTCTCAGCCCCACCTACTTCACAGGGTGCCTGTTGTGGGGAGAGAAAGGAAAGGAGATCATAAACCGCTCTGAGACTCCAAGTGAAGGGTAGGGTATAAATCCAATCTCCTCTTCTACTACCTTTTGCTCACTATTGTATAAAGTTGACCACTGGTAGGAGCGGTTCCCTCAAGAGCAGTTCTCTCAGCCCCACCTACCTCACAGGGTGTCTATTGTGGGAAGAGGAAGGGAAGGAGAGTGTAAGCCACTCTGAGATTCCTTTAGGTAGTGAAGGGTGGAGAATAAAACCAACTCTTCTCCTCCTCCTCCTCCTCGACAACCGCACAATTGTTCCCAGTTTTAGGATTGCTGAATACATAATTGCTGCTATGCCCATCTTTTAACTCTCTTAACTGTTTTTATTGCTTAATTTCTACTTCCAATTGCTTCCTGCTTGTAATTTATTGTTGTAACTCGCCCTGAGCCCGCTTTCGGGAAACGGGATATAAATCTAAATAAGAAATAAATCCTTTGGGGCCTGAACCATCAAAACACAGCAAAGACAGCAGAAATCAACACAGACTCAACACAGAAATTATCCTATTATTATTATTATTATTGAACAGTCATTGTGCACTCTTTATTCAACATAGAAAAAAAATTAGTACAAACTCAGTTAAATTCTATACAAAGCACCACAAGGGAAAAGGACGAGACCACACGGAGGAGTCTCTTGCATTTATGTTAAGAGAGGTTGTCAGAAATGGCACCACGGAGCTGTTACAAAGACAGGCGTACAAAACGAGCCGCGGGGCCCAGTGAGACCATACAAATATATATAGATTTGTGTTTTGCATTCAAGATGTCTCCTCCCGCTTCAGCCAAGGCCTCGTGTGGCAGGGAGCGTCATTCAGAAGCCCAACAGAAACAAATATCTCTGTCCAAGACAGTCAAAAAGGGAAGAAGGAACACACTCATGAGACAGGGGAGTTTTGCCAAGATGGCATAACATGGAGGATAGCATGTGTTTTTGTATGGATTATGCACATTTCTGAAGGGGGGGCATTTAATAGGTGAGAGGTCGGAGCACAACAACAGAGATTAGGGGAAGCCCCTGGAAGTTCCCAGGCCCGGCCCCAAACCGGCTCCTATTAAGGCCTTTGCGATTGGTTTGGCTACCACTAGATGGCGATGATGAGAAGGGAAAGGACTTTCCACCGGAGGGAACTTCATCCCTTCCACCAACAAGAGTCATTGCTAGAAAATGCCAGGTTCTGCAATGAAACCACCTCCTAAGTCCCCCAAAGTTGCGGGGAAACTAATGCCGATGTGTCCAAATGGGATTTGCAAGAGTTTAAACCACCCAACTTTGAAAGAAAGTTTTTTGGGGGGTAACCACGTTGGTCTGTCATACAAGAACTGTAGTGTCAGATGAAGGGAGCGCTGACTCTTGGAAACTGATCTCCTGGAAATCTGTCTGGTTTCTGAGACGCTACCAGACTCATATCTAACTCCTCGACCTTTAAAGGCTCTGAGACACTGCACAGACGGCTCTCTGGAATAATCAGACCATAGAGATGACTGCAGCCTAGATAGGCTTGCCAAGTCCCCCCCCCCGGGGGAAACCCCACCCCGACGTGCATGTCACCCAGAAGTGATGTAAGGACGCCGGGCACGCTGGGGGCGGGGCCACAACCATACGAGGGAAAACTCTATGGTTTTCCCTTGTATGGTCGTGGCCCCTCCCCAGCGTGCCCGGCGTCTTTACATCACTTCCGGGTGACGTGCACGCACGCTCCGGGATCCACTCGGGAGTCCCCCGCTGCGGAGGTAAGTTACACTTGGCAACCCTAAGCCTAGAGCTTCTTTCCTCTTCCACCCCCTGCGCCGCCAGTCAACGGAGTCACAGATCTCTTCCACAGCGGCGTTAAAGGCGTGGACAAGTGACCGCTCTCTAGAATCATCAGACCACAGAGATGACTGCAGCCTAGAAGCGCAGGCAGCTCTTTGTGTGACACTGTCATCAAAGCTCCTCTCAGACCGCCTCCTCCCTTAGACCTCAAGCAGCCCGCCTCTTACAGAAGCATCCCTGATCCTTTCCTGTGTTGTAGTAAGATTCCTCACTAAAGCTCGAGGAAGAAGTGGCTGGCCTCCGGACCACTGAGGTCACGATTCCCTTTTTGTTCCCACTCCACCCCATCCCAACGACTTGCTTGCATCCCAACTTTACAGCCGTCGTCTTTGCACGTCATAAGAGCAGTCAGCGGTTGAAGGGAGCTTTGACCCTTTGGTCTCTAAAGTGCTGGACTCGAATACTAGGCTCTCTTCTACACACCCAAGTCACGTACTGAGAAAAAGTCAACAGTCTCCCATTGGTGGTCAGGCATTGCGTATCTCACTCCCTCCGCCAATCACTGAATGTGTAGTAGAACTCTCTTAGAGGGGAAGAAAAGGCCCAGCATTCCATTTGCCTTCAAATCTAGGCGGCCTCACGGACTAAGGTGCAATTGAAGATGGCGTCAGCCAGAAGGACAAACCACGGTTTCTCCTCCAGCTTCATAAGCCAGGTAGGCTTGGCCAGTTGGATCAAAAGTATCACCTCCTATGGGGATGAAGATCAACCTTAAGTCTGTTCGCATGGACTCAGAGTTGCTCCCGATCCAGGGTTACTATCACTAGGTCAAGGCAGCAGTGGAGACGGTGGATAGCTTTCTGGCACAGAAATACTGCGTATGGAGAGGAAAGACTTTGGACTAGGAGAGAGGCACTAATTTTAGGAGGAGCTCTTAAGTACTTCAGGTTCCACAAGGTACTAAAAAATAAAGTTGGAACTTTGATTAACCCAAAGCAGGCGGCCTGCAACCTTTAAGGGTAGAGTGAAGGTTCGTGGACAAGTGAAGGAAGGGGGACGGGACAGACGTCTTCCAAGACCAACTTGCAGCCAGCTCACGAGGAGCTGAAGTTGCTGCTCCTTGGGGTGTATGAAAGGGAGGGGGGTCTCGGGCACGTCCCAGTGACTGGGCGGGGAGCTGGCACCAGATGAGCTTCTTTCCTCTTCCACCTCCTGCGCCGTCAGTCAACAGAGTCACAGATCTCTTCCACAGCGATGTTAAAGGCGTGGGGCTGGTCGGCGTAGACGTGGTGGGAGGCGCCAGGGATAGCCTGAGGAGAAACCAAGCAGGGAGTGGGGGTCAAGGGCTGCTACGAAGGCTGTTGGGCTTAAAGCATAAACAGGTTCTTTGATGAGGCTGCACCCTTGACTTCCACACTGTTGTAAGTCAGTCTGTACTGAGTGATGGCTCAGTTTTCTCAGATGAAGAGCTGCCTGATAGCCCTGATCTGTTAATTGAACAGGCGGCTGCAGCTGGCTCTGAATCAGAAGTTGAACAACAAGAGATCCAGTTATTGGCTGATCAGGAGTCACAGTAGCTCGGAAGCAGTAAGCGAGTCTTCAGCAGCCACTCCCATCCTACCTAGTTCACCCACCCCCTTGCAGCGCTGACACTGTCAGAGACACTTAGATTTGCAAGAAAAGAGAAGAAGTGCAAGACTCATGGCCAATGCTCCCTCTAAGCTGTGGAGTCTTGTGAGCAAAAATTCTTTGAGCTACTTTCATTAAAGTTGTGAGCAAGCGTTTTGGCTACTGCAAAAATTAGTTTGCTCTGGAGCAGCATTCCCTGTAAGCTGAGTGAGTGTGAGTTCGCTCACAGTTTTTTAGCCTCTGGCTCACACATTTGTATCTTAGCTCAGGAAGGGATGGCTCCAGAGCAAACTAATTGATGCAGTAGCCAAATTGCTCGCTCAAAACTTTACTGCCCAGTAGCCCACTAAGTAGAATTTTTGCTCACAAGACTCCATAGCTTAGAGGGAGCATTCGGAGCCCTCCTTCCTGAGCAGAGACAAAAATGTGTGAGCTGGAGGCTCAAAAACTGTGAGCTAGCTCACACTCACTCAGCTTAGAGGGAACACTGCATAGCCCTGTCGTCAGCTGTCAACCGAAGAGACAAAGGAGTCGTTTCGGGATGGCTGCCAAGAAATTGGCTGGGAGCTTAGCTCATTAAGACCTGGCTATAAATTCAGCGGGGAGACGCAGCGGTTTGTGGGCATAAGAAGTACACTCTGCTACTGAGCCACCAACCTTGCTGCTACCAGATCTCTGCAACCTTGGACCTGTGACTGGATCTGACAGCCGGCTTTTCTAGAACCTCTGACCTCAGACCGGACTTGGGCTTGCTGCCTGCAACTCCTTGACCCTGGACCGGACTTTGGTAAACGTGCTCTCCGAAACCCCTGACTTTTGGACTGGACTGTGGTCACTCTCTGCAACCTTGCTTGCGATCTGCCCTGCTGGACCCCAGCCCGTGCCTCCTGGGGAAGCGACATCAGTACACACGCCTTCCTCGGGCTTCCCTTCTCTTCCTGCAGCTACCCCACACAGCATCTTGGATTAAGAAAATTTAACATCAAGAGCACCGCACTTTACTTAATGACTGTTTTATACTGTTTAATGATTGTTTTTATGCTGTTTTAGTCGTTGTTATGGCAGTTGCCTCTGTTGTAGCCGCCCTGAGCCCGTTGGGGGAGGGTGGGGTATAAATCTAATAATAAATAAATAAATAAATAAAATCTTGGGAAACGCAGTGCTCAAGGCCAGACTCCGAATGGACCAAACGTCTGTGCCACTGCAGCCCTGAGGATTATGAGGACTGGAAGCCTGAGCTTTAAAAAACAGGAGGGTTGAGATTCTCAACATGCAAGGTTCGCCAGTCCCTGAAGTCCAGCTTTGGGCAAATGCGCTCCCTGGACCCTCGGCATATCAACCGACTTCGCCACATTCTCCTCCTCCGGTGCCGAAGCTCTTACCATGTCGCAGACATAGCTCCCCGGCCGCAGGTGCTTGACCTTCTCCCCGGTGCTGGAGTCGATCCAGGAGTTGGCACCGTAGATGAGGGTGATGGGCAAGTCACGCCGCACCAGGTGGATGCGCTCCAGCATGGGCCGCCGGGCCCACCCAAACGCCTCCATCATCGCCTTGAACCCTGCCTCGCCACTGGTGGCGGTGGGGATGCAAAGAAAGGAGACGGCTGTTAACGGTTGCGGGGAAAAGGAACCCTCCCACCTGGTCATGTTCACTTCTCCAAGCACGGCGGCATAGATCTAGGGAATGGGCTCAGTTCATTCAAACCTATTCAGTCCCTGTTGACACACAGACTGGGTGTTCTGCTTGGACAGGTTTTTCCTTGGCTGCACCCGATCTATGCAGAACAAGCAGGGCCCAAGTTCTGGGAGGAGCAGCCGTGGCTCAGCGTTAGACCTCATAAGAACATAAGAACATAAGAGATGCCAATGTTGGAGCAGGCCAAAGGCCCATCCAGTCCAACACTCTGTATCACACAGTGGCCAGAAATACCAGTGCCATCAGGAGGTCCCCCAGTGGGGCCAGGACACTAGAAGCCCTCCCCCTGTTGACCCCCCCAAGCACCAAGATGACAGAGCATCCCTTGCCCCAGAGTCCCTATCTATACCTTGTGGCTAATAGCCACTGATGGACCTCTGCTCCATATGCTTATCTAATTCCCTTTTGAAGCCGTCCATGCTTGTAGCCGCCACCACTTCCTGTGGCAGTGAATTCCAAGTGTTAATCACTCTTTGGGTGAAGAAGGACTTCCTCTTATCCGTTCTAACCCGACCGCTCAGCAATTTCAAGGAGTGCCCACGAGTTCTTGCATTGTGAGAAAGGGAGAAAAGTACCTCTTTCTCTACCTGCTCTATCCTATGCATAATCTTATAAACCTCAATCATGTCACCCCTCAGTCGTCGTTTCTCCTGCTTGGCACGCAGAAGGCGCCAGGTTCAATCCCTGGCATCTCCAGTGAAGAAGGATCAGGCGGTAGGTGACGCAGAAGGCCTCCACCTGAGACCCTGGAGAGCTGCTGCCAACCTGAGTAGGCAAGACTGAGCTTGATGGACCGATGGTCTGATTCGGTAGAAGGCAGCTTCGTGTGTTTATCGGGATTCATGGGAAGGGAGACAGGGACACTTGAACCTTCCTGGGTGTCCAGTGGGCAGCCCAGTTTCTATGACACTGTCCAGGGCTCTTTTTGTAGAAAAAGCCCAGCAGGAACTCATTAGCATAATAGGCCACACCCAACAGCAGGAACTTATTAGCATATTAGGCCACACCCTGACAACACAGCTCATTGGCATATTAGGCCACACCCCCATGTTACCAGAAGTGTGGTCATCCAGCCACACCCACCTTTTGCTTCATATTCTGTTTACCTTGTTTGTTGTCCAAACCCAGAGCTTTTTTGTAGCAGGAACTCCTTTGCATGTTAGGCCACACACCCCTAATTGTAGCCAAATCCTAATGAGTTTCTGCTGTTAGGTGTGGCCTGTTATGCTAATGAGTTCCTGCTGGGCGTGGCCAACTCAGGAGTCAGCCGGAACTCCGTTCCTGTGCATTCCTACATTCCTGCCCAAAAATAGCCCTGACACTATTTATCATAGTTGTGTGCTGTTAAGTTGCAAATGACTCACGGGGACCTCCGGACCATGGTGTTTTCAAGGCAAGAGACAAACAGAGGGGGTTGTGTCATTGCGTTCCTCTGCTCAGCAACCACAACCTTCCCTGCCGGTCTCCCATCCAAGCACTAACCACGGCCAAAATGGTCTTAGCTTCCGCCCTCTGAAGAGATCTCGCTAGGCTGGGCTGTCCCCTGCTTACTGTCGACTTAGGAGATGCTTTAAAAGAGCAGAACGCTTTCGTCAACGATTCAGAAGACTGTGACCGATTTCACACAAGAGCTGCGCCGTGGCCGTGCCTCCCTTTGCAGCGCCTCCCTTCTATTGGTCAATTTCCCACTCGAAGCCGCGCGGCCGCATTTTGACCCACGGCATAACCGGTCGAAGCCGCGGGTCAAAATGCGGCCGCGCGGCTTCGAGTGGGAAATTGACCAATAGAAGCAGGGCAAAGGGAGGCGCGACCGCAGCGCAGCTCTTGTGTGCCCGGGATAGATTTTTTTAAAAAAACTTATTTATATAATATAGCAATGATTTACAGTAGCACATACTATTAGGAAACCACTACAATGAAAACATAATTAAAAACACAAAAAAAAACCCCACAAGAGCAATAAAACCAAACAGTTCTTCAGTATATAGCTAGAACCTTCAAATTATCTGGAAGTGCCTTTTTCAGCTTACTATGCCTTTCCATATGTTCAAGAAAGGGAAACCAGCGTTTCAAAAAAATCTGAATGGAACTCTGGATTCTCTGCCAAGGATATAACTTCTGACATTTTGTCCATGACCAGGTATTCCCATAACTTATGAAACCACATAATCGATGAGAGGTTGTGTACTATTTTTTCCAATGCCCAGCCACTAAAGTCTTGGCTGCCACCAACATGTAAGAAATGAGATCTTTCCTGACAGCAGGAACATCTATCCCCTCCCATAAATTAAGCAATCCCTCTTAGGGATACTGTGCCCAGTAATATCACACATCAGTTTAAGAATAGTGGTCCAATATTGCATTATAGCAGGGCACGGCCACCAGCAGTGAATGTAAGAGCCAGGCTGCCCACAACTCCTCCAACACCTGGGCAGGAATGTCTATACCCTCCCGTAAATTAAGCAAGACAGGTTCTGGCCTCGTAGGGATACTGTGCCCAGTAATGTCATAAATCAGTTTGAGAATAGTGGTCCAATATTGTTGAGGGAGCTGGATGTCAAGTTTGCTACTGGGCCTGGACAAACTGTGTTTGGGGTCTGATGCAAGACAAAATATGAGCAATGTTCCCTCTAAGATGTGAAGTCCTGTGAGCAACTGGCCTTAAAGTTGTGAGCCAGCGATTTGGCTGCATCATAAATTAGTTTGCTTTGGAGCCCTCCTTCCTGAGCTAAGGCAAAAATGTGTGAGCTGGAGGCTAAAAAACTGTGAGCTGGCTCACACTCACTCAGCTTGTGACTGCCACTCTGTGGCAAGACACCACAAAGAAAGCAAGTTACCTGATGAACATCTCGCTGCTCTTGCAAGTGCCTTTCTAGAGTGATCTGCCTACTGAGGAACTCTGAGTGTTTTAAGAGAAGCTCTTGGGCCATGTCCGACAGCGTGAGCGATGGCCAAACGGGTGCTTTGCCACTGAACCAGAGTTGCCCAAGTTCATTGTTTTCCAGATGTACGCCAGCATGGCTCTGGAAAACACCCAGCTTTCTCCTGTGGCTTCCCGCTCTAGAGGAAGATCAGACGCGAAGGACAGACTGGATTTCTGGAGGGCTAGTCGGTCATTAAGGAAACCAAATGTGCCCCGCAACAAACAGCAAGAAAGCTGAAGGACAAAGGTTGAGTACGATGGCACCTTTAAGACCAACATTTTTTAATTCAAGGGATAAGCTTTCATGTGCAGGGGTCATTTCTTGCAGGAGTGCACAGGAGCAGAGCTCTGGCAGTAAAGAGCCCAGGGGGTGGGCACATGCAACAAGCCCCGCCCCCTGCTCCCAGCAGCCCTCAGTCAGAGCAAGAAGCAGCCAGGTAAGTTGCAGAGGCCTGGTCCAAAACAGTCCAGTGGCACCTTTAAGACCAAGTTTTATTCAGGTACAAGCTCTCCCTCCTCTGCGAGGACAGATCTGCACATCCCCCCCCCCCATAGCTAGCAATCCAAAACAGTCCAGTGGCGCCTGAGCGGTGGGTGTTGCCTTCATAACCACTTCCGGTAATGTCAGGGGGCATGGCATATGCAAACAAGTTATGCTAATGAGTTATGCTAATGAGCTCCTGCACCTCTTTTTCTACAGAATGACCCCTGTTCGTGTGCATGCACACTTCTTCAGATGCACACCAAAGCTTATCCCTTGAATAAAACTTTGTTGGCCTTAAAGATGCCACTGGACTCAAATTTTGTTCTGCTGCTTCAGACCAACATTTTTTTTTTACTTATTTATTTTTGGATTTATATCCTGCCCTCCCTATGGCTGCCCCACCTGAACCTATCGGCATGAAAACTATGAATTGTGGCAAGAAAGAAAAACAGTCAGGGACTGGGAACACTCTCACCTGGGTGTTTGGGCGTTGCAGTGGTAGATGTACTCGGAGATGGTTTCGTCATCGAAGAAATCTGCAAACTTCTGCTTAAAGTCTGGACGGAAGCGCTGCACCAACCCAGGGCCTGGCGGGAAGGAGGAGTACAGAGGGTGGTCTCACATTAAACTATTCCTCAGCTTCAAAACAATCGAAACCCTTTAAAAAAATCAAGAACGAGCGTCCTCATATGAAAGGTTGCTATTATGTAAGTTGGACCAAACATGGTAGGTGCTTTCTAAAGCTTAGGAGACCTGGCCCATATAGAAACTGAATAAAGTTTGCCTGTTAAGAAATTGCAATGAGACTTCCTGCAGTGGCTTTTTGTTCCTGAGGAAGGACCAGAAGTCCGAAACACTGAACAATACCTAGGAAAAGTGTTGATATCTATTCCAGACTTCATTGTTTCCCTTTGAGAAATTTCTATTCTGGACTTTGTTCTTTTCCTTTGGGATATGGTGGACTTTTGCATTTTCCTATGATGGATTACATGTGTTGAATTACCTTTGTGTTGAAGTCTCTTTTTGTTAACTTTGGTGTGGGTTTGTGCAGTACACAGTTGTTATTTGCTGTTTTTTTGGCCACTAGTTTCCCTCAGACACAGTAAGAATACCATGTTCAGCTATAAACAAGAGGTGATTTTACAACTATGGAATCCAGTTCTTGCCTTTCCGTCTCCCCAGGCCCCCCCCACACACACACCATCCACCCTTCTCGCCAACTTCACTCACCCCACGGTCCAGCAGCTCGCAGCACGGCCAGAGGGTTGGACCGTCCCAGCACTGTTGCCACGGCCTTGACCCAAGCAGGGGCGCTGCGCACCTGATTCCGGTCCGTTGGCCGCACTGGGAAACCCCAGGGGTCCACGAGGATCAGATGTTTCACCCTGGGTTAGATGAAGAAAGGACAAACTGAGACTATGGACAGTCAACAGACATTGTCTGCCTCCATTTATATATATATATATATATATATTTAAAATCCCTATGTGGGGAAACTAGGAAGCCAGGGAGTTAACTTTTGAGTGCTTTCACACATACTAAATAATGCAGTCTCAATCCACTTCAGCGACCGTTTGCAGGTGGATTTTGCCATTTTGCACACTAAAATCCAGTTGCAAAGTAGTCTGAAAGGGTAATTATTGCCTTCTTCATTTGTCATTGTTCAGTCGCACAGTCGAGTCCGACTCTTCGCGCCCCCACGGACCACATCATGCCAGGCCCTCCTGTCTTCCATCGTGCTCCGGAGTTTGCTCAATTTCACGTTCGTTGCATTGATAACACTGTCCAGCCATCTCATCCTTTGCCGTCCCCTTTGACCTTCACTCTTTCCAGCATCAGAGTCTTCTCCAGTGAGTGCTCCCTTCTCATTGGGTGGCCAAAGTACTTGAGCTTCAGCTTCAGTATACGGCCTTCCAGGGAACAGTCAGGGTTGATTTCTTTTAGGATTGACTGCTTCGATCTCCTTGCAGTCCAAGGGACTCTCAAGAGTCTTCTCCAGCACCATAATTCGAAAGCATCTATTCTGCGGTGCTCGGCCTTCTTTATAGTCCAACTCTCACAGCTATACAGTACTAATGGGAATACCATCACTTTGACCACGCGGACTTTTGTTGGCAGGGTGATGTCTCTACTTTTTATCGTGCTGTCTAGGTTCCTTCTTCATTAAAGACTTTTAAAAAAATGTGAGTCTCTGCTTGCTTCTTCAGAAGTCTGATGCTAAGTCACTCACTTAACAAAGAAGTCGGAGAGTGATTCAGCAAGAACACAACTTTATTCTTCAACTCAAACACAACTCCAACACTGATCAACATCTGATAGCCAGAACAGAACAGTTCAGCTTTTACATTGCAGTTGTAATGATTTTAAACTCTCCCGGCTAATGTAGCCACACCCACTGTACAAATACAACCAATACGGTTGTTCATATAAGGACCAATCACGGAGCTTGCTGTAAGGTGATTGGCTAGGTGCTTCCTGGGCTAGCAATGCGATTGGATGGATTTGGATCCTAGCCCAGGACGAAGCTCAACATGGCAAGTCAATTAGATGTTTCACATACATTGTGCATTCAATGGCAGCTATTGAATACATTACATCTGAAGAAGTGAGCAGTGACTCAAGAAAGCTCCTCCCCTGCCACAAATTTTGTTAGTCTTCCAGGTGCTCCTGGACTCTCACTCCTTTCTACTGCTACAGACAGACTATCAGAGATACCCTTCTTGGTCTGCCTTCTTCTCGACATGCTCATTTTCTACACGGCAGGAAAGAATGGGGGGGTGTTCTTAACCCAACATGGTGGAGTTGTTAAAGAGTGCCAGACTAGGACTGGGAAATGTTATTTACTATTTATTTATTTACGCTATCTATAGGCCAGCTTTCTCACAGGGGCTTGAGGAGGATCACACATAGTGAGCCAGCACAACCGCGTAACGTGGGACAATAAAAAACCAAAGCATTTTAGAAGGCTGGAATCACCAAAAAACCCCTCCCTGAAGTATGCCATAACTATTCACATGTGAATAGTGAACTATTCGCATCACATAAGGCTCCAAATCTTTCTCAAACATAGGTAAAGGTTCCCTTGCTCGAATGCCAGTCAAATCCAACTCTAGGGTTGCGGTGCTCATCTCCGTTTCAAAGCCGAAGAGCTAGCGCTGTCCGAAGACATTTCCGTGGTCATGTGGCCGGCATGACTAAACCCCAAGGAGCACGGAACGCTGTTACATTCCCACCGAAGCGGTACCTATTTATCTACTTGCAATTTCTTGCTTTCGAACTGCTAGGTTGGCAGGAGCGGGAACTAGAGACGGGAGCTCACTCTGTCATGCGGCACCCGGGTCTCAAACTACTGAACTACTGACCTTCCACAGCCTGCTGTTCAGCGTCTTAACCACTTGAGCCACCGCAGCTCCTTCTCAAACGTACACCAGCATTTAATACGTGAAATACATGAACTGCAATAAACAGGCTGGAGATTTAAAGCGATATCTAACATTTACTATTTGACACTCCCCAAAGAGATACTTCACAGATTCTTAGGTCGCAATTTCAATGGACTGAGGAACATGGTCTTCAGATGTCCATCCACTTCTTAAGACATTAAGATAAACAGTATAAAGTATGTTGCAATCAGCAAGTAGATCCAGTCCTTAAGACTTGACACAAACAATAAGAAATAGGCTGCAGTTCACTCATCCTCCAGATTATTCAATGAGTCTTCGATGCCTTCATCAGGACAGCAGACGGGGACTCCTGAAGAGGCACAGGTACAGGAACATCTCAGCCAGCAGTGCCTCCAAACTGTCTCATTGTACTGCAATGTCACCAAAGCTGCCTTATTTTCCTTTGTTCATGATGGAGACGGGTAACCTGATTCTACAGGTGTTCTCCCAGGGCTCTTTTTGTAGAAAAAGCCCAGCAGGAACTCATTAGCATAATAGGCCACACCCAACTGCAGAAACTCATTAGCCTATTAGGCCACACCCCTGAGAGCACAGCTCATTAGCACATGAGGCCGCACCCCCATGTTACCAGAAGTGTGGTCATCCAGCCACACCCACCTTTTGCTTCTTATTCTGTTTACCTTGTTTGTGGTTCAAACCCAGGGCCTTTTTTGGTAGCAGGGACTCCTTTGCATGTTAGGCCACACACCCCTAATGTAGCCAATCCTAATGAGTTTCTGCTGTTGGGTGTGGCCTGTTATGCTAATGAGTTCCTGCTGGGCATGGCCAACTCGGGAGCCAGCTGGAACTGCGTTCCTGCCCAAAAATAGCCCTGTGTTCTCCCATCTAAATGAATGTAAGGAATGTGACATTCGCATGTCACATCAAGTGGTACAGAAACGACACAAACAGGATCCTGATTACAATAAGCCAAACCCAGCACTATAGGCCTTAATCCTTTATCCAAGGCAGGATTTAAAACCATTTCTGGCCCGTGCAACGTGATTCCCTGCCCAGAAAAGCCCTCCTGGATCGTTCGGCTGGGAAAACTCATTGGACGATCCAGTCAGTCAGTCAGCCTTCATTGGCATAGATGAAATACAGCATGGATCACATTTTAAAATGCATATCAAGATTATGTAAATAGAAACAGTCAACCCACCGGGGCTTTGACCTTATATTCCCCTACCCTCACAGCGATAGAAAGAAATCGTGCTACTGAGAAAGTAACGTGAGGGCGAAGATCTGATAAAAGGAAAGAGATAAGTCTTGGGCCAGTCACATGAAGGCGCATGAAGCTGCCTTACCCCGATTGAATCAACCTTGGTCTATCGAAACCGGTACTGCCGACTGAGACCGGCAGCAGCCCGCCGGGGTCTCAGGCAGAGAACTGTCACATCACCTCCTGCCAGATCCTTGAACTGGGGATTGAACCTGGCCTAGGACCTTCTGCGTGCCAAGCAGATGCTCCACCACTGAGCCACAGTCCCCCGCAGTGTCCCCTCTAAGCTGAGTCAGTGTGAGCCAGCTCACAGTTTTTTAGCCTCTGGCTCACACGTTTTTTGTCTCAGCTCAGGAAGGGATGGCTCCAGAGGAAACTAAGTTATGCCACAGCCGAATTGCTGGCTTGCAACTTTCATGCCAGGAGCTCACAAGGTAGAATTTTTGCTCACAAGACTCCGCAGCTTAGAGGGAACATTGATCCCCCAGTCATTCTGTCTAGGCTAATCTACCCCACAGGATCATTGTGAAGATAACGTTAGATAGGGAGGAAACAATATTGTAAGCCACTTTTGAGTCCAATTGGGGATAAAAGTGGGGTATAAATGGCCCAATCCATTCATCGAGTTCAGACTGCGAGGGCACGAAGCAAAGCCTCCTCAGTGGTCTGCTGCTCCCCCCATCATGAAAACCCCACCAACTGCAAACTCACCAGAGCGAGGCTGAGTACCTTACGGCGGTGCTGAGAAGACCGCGTTTGAGCTGGCCATTTGCAACAGCAGGCAGAAGAACGGAGGACCTCTCAGAGAAGTTGATCAGATTTCCATCCTGGCAGGCAGAACTTGGCTTTGTTTACTCAGCCCCGAGTTCACACAGTGGAGCTGGTCTGAAGAGGATCCCCCTGCCACCAACCCAGGTCGCAAGAAGTTTGTGGGGCGGACCACAGCATCCAGCCCATGGATTATTTAGATGAATGCATCTGAACCTTCTTGGGCTGTGAAAGACACGGCTCCAGTTCATCGGGCAGCAGAATTTTTAAAATCATTTTTGTTGTTGTTCAGTCGCACAGTCGAGTCCGACTCTTCGCGACCCCATGGACCAGATCCCGCCAGACCTTCCTGTTTTCCACCGTCCTCTGAAGTTGGCTCAACTTCATGTTCGTTGCATCTATGACACTGTCCAGCCATCTCATCCTTTGCCGTCCCCGTCTTCTTTGACCTTCAATCTTTCCCAGCATCAGGGTCTTCTCCAGTGAGTGCTCCCTTCTCATTGGGTGGCCAAAGTATTTGAGCTTCAGTTTCATTATCTGGCCTTCCAGGGAACAGTCAGGGTGGATTTCTTTTAGGATTGACTGATTTGATCTTATTTCAGTCCAAGGGACTCTCAAGAGTCTTCTCCAGCACCATAGTTCAAAAGAATCTATTCTTCCGCGCTCCGCCTTCCTTATAGTTCAACTCTTGCAGCCATAAAACAGTTTGCAAGCTCTTAGAAGACTCTGGCCCGGGAAGAATGCCTCTTCAGAGCCGGTGCCTCCTGAGGGTTCAACGAGGCACGGCAATAGGAGCTCCATAAACGGAGCTCACAGCAATTTCCTGACACGGACATTAGGGTTGCCAACTTCCAGGTGCGGCCTGGAGGTCTCCCAGAATTACAACTGGTCTCCAGGCTACAGAGATCAGTTCCCCCCGCAGAAAACTGCTGCTTTGAAGGATGGTAAAAAAGGTAAAAGGTAAAGGTTCCCTTGCTCGAAAGCCAGTCGAGTCCGAGTCTAGGGTTGCGGTGCTCATCTCCATTAAAAAGCCGAAGAGCCAGCGCTGTCTGAAGACCTTTCCGTGGTCACGTGGCCGGCATGACTAAACACCAAGGCGCACGGAATGTTCCCTTCCCACCGAAGTGGTCCCTATTTATCTCCTTGCAATTTCTTGCTTTCGAACTGCTAGGTTGGCAGGAGCTGGAACTAGAGATGGGAGCTCACTTCGTCATGCGGCACCCCTGGGTCTTGAACTGCTGAACTACCAACCTTCCACAGCCTGCCCTTCAGCGTCTTAACCACTTGAGCCACCGCAGCTCCTTTGGAGGATGGACTCTATGGCAAAAGCAACGTTCCTGGTGATTCCTAGAGCTACCTTTGTGTCACTTCCTGTAAAGAGGTCCTGGTATTTCCTCTCACAACGGTGTCTCCCCTCCCCCCACATCCCTCCCGCCAGTTGCCGGGCACTGCCCAGCCACCCTAGCCTTGTGCCCACAGACAACACTCACCTCTCTGGGTACTGCAAGCTGTAGGAAGTTGCCAGGAAGCCCCCAAGACTGTGGCCGAGCAGGATCATGCTGGGAATACCCATCTCCCGGCGCCAGGCCTCGATGGAGCTCACAAACTCCTCCTCTGCCCCCTGGGCTTCGTGGGGGAAGGGGGGTCGGGAGCTACGTCCGAAGCCGAGGAGGTCAAAGGCATGGAGGGGGCGATGGGTGCTCAGGGAATCCAGGTTGAGGATCCAGAGCCCCACGCCCCCACCGAAGCCGTGCACCATCACCAGGGGGGTGCGCCCCTTGCCCCGGTCTGGGGACAACGATACAGTCCAGATCTTGCTATGGTTGGGGAGGGAGATGTACCGAGCCACAAATCGGTTCTGGAGGCCTACAGGAGGAGGGACGGAAAGACACAAAAATGGAGATGAACGTTTGCGGGGGTCAGGCTGCTTAGTTTTGGCCCCTCAAGGAAAAGGTATCTTTACACCCCCATAGGACCAAAAACATTTTTTTTGGGGGGGAGATCTAGATGAAGAAAATGAGCGATAGGAAAACTCATGTTTTCAACTGTGTCAGATGCCCGTTTGTAATCTAGACAGAACACCACTGGCGAAATGTACTGGGATGTTTTATGAGTCACTGGGATCATATATGCACATATGCACCTCCCTTTCCACCTCCATATCAGCCTCCCATTGGAGTTAGCAACCTGGGCAGCTGCTTCCTGTTAAGAAAGAAACCACTGGGTAATTAATGGTTTGTTCAACCTTAATCCCCCTCTCTTCCTTGGGACAGAGGCCAAGCCCCTTTATCACCACCCCACCCAATACACTTAGGGCTGCCTGGTGGGGGAGGAGGATTCCCCACCTGATAAAGTTTCTGGCCATTCCTAGAGCTACCTTTTGTCACTTCCAGGTAGCTCTAGGAATCACTCGGAACTCTATGGTAGGAAGTTCCTGTATGTAGACTAGGCCTTATTTTTTAAAAAACCCCAAAAACCCGGGACCCTGGCCAGTTGCCAGGCACTACTTACACTGCAAGATCCGAGCTTCCACATTCTTGAGGTGAGACATGGAGGTGGGACGCCAAGCAGGGAGCCAGCCTCCCAACCAGCCGTGGGACCTGTAGGAGGGGACAGTGGAGAATACAGGTGGGCGACCAGGGTGAAAAGGTCCAGGGAAGAAAAAGAGACAAGTGAGAAGAGGTCACTTGGACAAAAGCTAAATTTCACAGCATGCCGTTGCCATTCCGTGACATCCAGTGGAAGGAAGGGTGGGAGTGCAAAAGAGACTTTGAACAAATCAGGCCTCTGTTGTCCAACTGCGACCCACAGAGTGGGAAAAGAGAAGAAGAAGAAGAAAAGAGATTGGATTTATACCCCGCCTTTCACTACCCAAAGGAGTCTCAGAGCGGCTTACAATCTCCTTTCCCTTCCCCTCCTCACAACAGGCACCCTGTGAGGTAGGTGGGGCTGAGAGAGCTCTTTTGAGAACATTTCTGCTCGTGAGAGAACAGCTCTGAAAGAACTTGTGACTGACACAAGGGCGTACCAGCAGGTGCAAGTGGAGGAGTGGGGAACCAAACCCGGTTCCCCCAGATTAGAGTCCGCGCACGTAACCACTACACCAAACTGACTCTTACACCAAACTGACTCCTGATCGCACAAGGGCTCATTTCCATTTGGGACAAATGCCCAGTCCACAGTCGCAAGGTGGTTGTTAACGGTCAGCAGAGATGGAAAACATGCAGAGTTTCCTGCCCATGTGCAGGACTCCCATGCCCTGACTGCAAGTTTTGCATGCACATGACAAGCAACTTTTTGCAAGTGGCCCAGGGGGATGTTGAAAACTGCCATGCTCTCGACAACATCTAGAGACCTTGCTCCTTGAGTACAGATTGTGGATCACAAAGCCTTTGATTTAAATCTCATTTTAGCCATAAACTTGTTGGACTCTCTCCGGGAAACCATTCCCACACACCCTTCCAATCTTCAGACAGGGATGCTAGCCAATCTTATATAGCTATTATAAGCAGAGGTCGATTCGGGGGGGATCGCGGGGGATCACCGTTCCCCCGGGTGAGGTGCAGGGGGCTGGGGCACACGACGAAGCCCCGCCCCCTGCATCCGGCCCTCCTTCAGCCAGGAGGAGGCAGGAGAAGAGGAAGGATAAGTTGCTTCCTCCCCGCCTCTCCTCACCCCTGCCTGCCTGGGGCCAGGGAGGGCCTTGGCGGGGCTTCCTCGCACGCCTGCCGGCCTTGCAGGTCCACCGCCGGGCCCCATCAGGGGCTTGACAGTGGAGCTGCAAGGCCAGCGGCGGCGGCCGGGACTGTTGGGGGCGGGGGGCTTGGCAGGGCTTCTCCGCACTCTCACCGGCCTTATGACACACTTCCGGTGATGTAAGGGGGTGTGGCATATGCTAATGAGTTATGCTAATGAGTTCCCCTAGCTCTTTTTCTACGAAACGACGCCTGATTATAAGGAAGGCTCTAATTGTATCTGCAACGCAGTTCGGATCATCAATGGTTACTGCTGTTATTACAATACAAATGGCACCAAAGATTTGGATCCTAACCCTTGATTCCATTCCAGCATTGCGGACAGTGTTTCTTCAGTGCTAGGTGCTTTCTACTCATTGCAACACAATGTGCGATTAACTTCTAGAACCAGAGGTACCTACTGCACAACAGAAGACAGCCAAAGTATACTAACTGATCTGCCAAGGGACCAGATCCTCTGCAGTCATAACCTCAATGTCTAAGAGCCAGTTTGGTGTAGTGGTTAAGAGTGTGGACTCTAATCTGGGAGAACCGGGTTTGATTCCCCACACCTCCACATGTGGCTGCTGGTGAGACTTTGGGTCAGTCACAGGTTCTCTCAGAGCTGTTCTCTCAAGGGCAGTTCTCAAAAGAGCTCTCTCAGCCTCACCTACCCCCACAAGCAATGCTCCCTCTAAGCTGTGGAGCCTTGTGAGCAAAAACTGTACTTTTCTGAGCGACTGGCATTAAAGTTGTGAGCGAGCCATTTGGCTACTGCATAAATTAGTTTGCTCTGGAGCCATCCTTCCTGAGCTAAGACAAAAATCGGTGAGCCGGAGGCTAAAAAACTGAGCTAGCTCACACTAACTCAGTTTAGAGGGAACACTGCTCATAGGGTGTCTGTTGTGGGAAGGGGAAGGAGATTGTAAACCGCTCTGAGACTTCTTTGGGTAGTGAAGGGTGGCATATAAATCCAATCTCTTCTTCTGAAAGTCTTTTTCCCAACTGTCCTCATTCTCTGGCTCCATTCAGACAGTACACCAACCCTTGGGTAGATCTCAAGCCACGGTTCACACTTCCTCGCATACCGACAAACCATGGCTTAGTGCTGTTTTCTCAGCATCCCACCGGCCCCCCCCCCTTTCTAGGGTTAGCCGCCACCACTGAATTGCCCCCTTCAAACCTGTCCTTCAGTGCATTCAGTTTGGGAAAGAGCAGACAGAGAATCTGGAGGCCCCCTCATTTACAAAGTTACACCAAGAAAGTTTGCTGCATGTCAAGCAGCATTTCTGCTCCCTTAGGTCAGTGGAAACAAGTAACACTTTCAAGATGTCAGGCCATTACATCAGCCGCCCCCTTCCATGGAAAACAAGGAAAGCAAACAAAGCCGCTCCTGTGTGATCCAGCGATAAGGGCAAGTGGATTGCTGAGTCATTCTACCTTTCCCTAGATCTGCTGAGTCACTTCCCAGGTTCCCCTCCAAGTTCACAGTTTCCAAGTTGGATTGCAAGAACAGCTCCCCCCTCCACCTGTTCCCCAAGACTTCCCCTGACACTAACTCCCACAGTCCATTACAGACAGTATGGGGTTTTATATATATATATATATATATATTGCATAACTTTCTGTTTCTCTTCCTCCCCCCACCCAACTACAGTTTTTCTTGGTTGCTTCGTCCCTAGAAGACCCAACGACCTACTGAAAGAACCGAATTCTTCCATGTATGGACAGCGTTCTTTTCTCTTCCCATCGGAGCACACACAATTTGAAGCCCACGACGACATTCCAGCCCCTCTTGTTTAGAAATGAAACTCCTCCAGTGCTATTACAAAAGGGGAATCTGTCAGTTGTGCTTCACTCCGTGGCAAAGAAAGGGTACTCTGCCCATGCTCAGAGGCACCGTGACAGACATCCCAGCCCCAGCACAAAAAGCAGCGCGAAACAGGCCCAGAGTTAATCACAACCTGGATCGACCCGCCCAGCATACTTTTCTTTACACGCCCTGTCGCCGCTTCCTGTTTTGCTGTGTAAGAATAACTTTATCCCGGACATCTCCTTCATTCTACCCCCTCTTGCCTTGCCTTCCCCTCGCCTTCTCTTTCTGTAGGGTGTTGCTCTGTTCCCCGCAGAACAGGAAACCAGTTTGAACCACGAGAGTGACGGGAGGGGGGTGGGGATGTCTTTTCTCCGTCAACCCCAACCCCAACCAAGCATCAGACCTAAACAAGCCTTGCACCCATCTCCCAATCCCACCCCAGTGGCAGTCCAGGCCAGCAAGATGCAATCCTCTAGTCCTAAAGAAAAATCCCCACACCTCCAAAATACAGAAGGGAATATCTAGATAGCCTGATCCACCTGTAGGAGCAGGAGAATGCAACTCCATGCAAAGCAACAACAACAACTCCCCCCCCCCCTCCGGCCTTGTCTCCATCTCAGAGCAGATCTGCGGCTCCAGGATCCAGAAAAGAGTTAAGCCAGACTCACGACTGCTCAAGGTCTTCCTCCATTCCTCTCCAAGAAGGGATACATCCCAACAGCTGGTACAGGAAGGCGTGCGGGAGGAGGACTTAGAGCGAAGGGGGCGGGGCCGAGTGTCAGAGCTTGGGGGCGTGGTTTACATTTTATGAATGGCTTGGGGGGGGGGAAAGGTCGCTTGTGTAACCCTCCTGCTGGGTTATGTAAGGGGGGCGGGAAAGGGGGGAAGAGAGAGAGAGGGCGAGCCCGAAAGAGAGCGCGTCCCGCAGGCTCCCTTCTGCTCGCCGGGCGGATCAGAAAGGAGGGAGGGCCCCTCCTCTCCCCCTGATGTGGGCGTGGCATCATAAAGAGGGGAGGAGTCTGGTCGGAGCCGGGGAGGGGGGTTTTGCAACGGGGGGGGGGGAAAGCTGGGGGGGGGAAGCAAAAAAGGGGAAGCACTAACCGGCGCTTTGGGGCTGCTGTGCTGGAGGATTGTGGAAGATCCGGATTGGAGGGTGGGGGAGAAGAGCTTTGGTGAGGATCGGGTCCAGGCAGGGTCTTCCTGGGACAAAGCCACCATATATAGGGGGTAATGACAAAGCTCGTGCTTCTTAGCAAGGGTTTCTCCTCTCCCCTCCAGACAGGGCAGTTTCTGAGCATGGGCAGAGCGCCTTTCCCGAGGAGCGGCTACGGCCTGTCACTAGTGTTGGGATCGTATTGAAGTGGCAAGTAGGATCCTATAACGGGGCATTGGGTTGCATTATGCATGCTTCGATTATATCTGGTGCCGCAGCGGGATGGTCAAAGCAGATCAGGGAGTTTCATGAGGTCGCAGCCCTGCAATCGTACGGGTGGTAGCAAAAACTGCCGTTTGGAAGCATCTCTTGTCCCCAAAGTCCTGCCTTCTAACTCTTTATTTGTTACCTGAAGTTTGGGAGGAGGTTCTTCTCCTTGCGCTTGCGTACTTATTATTTGTTCTTAATAGGCTTGATTCAGTCTTGAATTCAAGTGCAGGGTTAAGCGGCAGATCCGCATGCGCGCAAAGTCCTCTCCACGTCCCGGCGTGCACAATAATATTGTGTATGGCGCGGACCTGCACATGTATACACACACACACTTCAAATGTCCTAAAGGTGCACAAACACGTGCACTTTTTTTTCAAGTCCACCATAATTTGCTCTTTTTCCTTCTCTCCAATAAAGATATATCCCTGTCAGGATGAGTGTACGACGCATGCGCCAAAAGTGGCCCACCATAGGCATGGCTCCTTCGCAGCCTCAAGATCTGGAATTGCGCATGCGCATTTTGTATGGCTGCCTTTCTTACACACGCGCGCCAGCTGGCCCATACTAGAAATGGCTTCCTTGGGAATATATGACAGACTGCGCATGCCACGTCGGAGGACACGTCTTCTACGCATGCGCTCTCCGCGTAGAGACCCCGGAAGTGCTTCCTTCTTTCCGTCCAGCTCGTCTGTTCGGACTGAGAGAGCCGACCGAGTGCGCAGCGATGTCTGGGGCGGCTGCAGGGTCGGCGGGCTCCGGGGCCGGGTCGGTGGGCTCCGTGGTGCGGCGCTTCCTGGCCGAGTACAGCAGCGGGACGCCGAGCCGCCTGAAGGTGCTGGACGCCTACCTGCTCTACGTCATGCTGACGGGAGCGCTGCAGTTCGGCTACTGCCTCGGCGTCGGCACCTTCCCCTTCAACTCCTTCCTCTCGGGCTTCATCTCGGCCGTGGGCAGCTTCATCCTGGGCGGTGAGCGGCTCGGCCGTAGCCATGGCGACCGCTAGGCCGCGCGGGGCGGGGGCAACGGTCGCCGGCGGGGAGGAGGGAGGGGGTGCCCGCGGTTGCCGTGGCAACCTGAGAACGGTCACGTCCTCGTGGGAGGGGGAGAGCGTCTCCATGGCGACGGTGGGCCGCGAGGCGTCTCAGTTCCTCTAGATGTGTGGTTTGCCATAACGGAAGGGGAGACTGCCTCTGAACATTTGCAGAGTGCCTTTTCCTTCACTGCTGGCCCCAGCAAGAGAGCGGCCATGAGTCTTGGGGCAGTGCAGGCTTCTGCTTTTTAAAGTTTAAAGGTAAAGGTCTCCCTTGCTCGATGCAGGCTTCTGCTTTTTAAAGTTTAGAGAACTGCTATATTCCTGAGTATCTCGCTAAAGTAAAGATAAATCTAGGCTAATTGTATAATTAAAAAGTAAAGGTCCCCATGCTCAAAAGCCAGTCGAATCCGACTCTAGGGTTGCAGTGCTCATCTCCATTTCCAAGCCGAAGAGCCAGCGCTGTCCGAAGATGTTTCCATGGTCATGTGGCCGGCATGACTAACACAAAGGCGCACGGAACGCTGTTACCTTCCCACCGAAGTGGTACCTATTTATCTACTTGCAATTTCTTGCTTTCGAACTGCTAGGTTGGCAGGAGCTGGGACCGGAGACGGGAGCTCACTCCATCATGCGGCACCCGGTCTCGAACTGCTGAACTACTGACCTTCCACAGCCTGCAGTTCAGCGTCTTAACCTCTTGAGCCACCGCAGCTCCAGTTTAACTGGAGAGAACTGCTGTATTCCTGAGTATCTCGCTAAAGTACAGATAAATCTAGTCTAATTGTATAATTGCTCTGCATTAAATATCTCTGATATGTCAGATGATGAATATATTCTGTTTTCCTAGTAACCAGTAAAAGGGAATCAGTTTTGAACAAATATATGATCTGGTACTTCGATTTTTCTCTTTTTTCCTCTTTGTGGCGGGAGTGAAGAAGATTCACAGTTGATAATTCACAATTATAAATTCAGTTTTGTTGCTTCAGTCATTAAATTGGCATAGTGAAACATTGTAGGTAGATTTCAAAGCAACTACCAGTGCTACATGGCCTTCAGGCACTTGTTTATAAGCCGACTAGTGCAGCATCCTCAGAATATTCCTTTGGTAGTTCCAACTATGATACCTGGTTTCAATTATGCCATTTCTTATTATCTTTGCAGCAAGCCTTATGGTGTGTGTTTTTTCTTTCTTTCTCCTCTTCAGTTTGTTTGAGGATCCAGATCAACCCACAGAACAAGGGGGAATTTCAGGGGATCTCCCCAGAACGAGCCTTTGCCGATTTCCTCTTTGCCAGCACCATCCTTCATCTTGTCGTCATCAACTTTGTGGGCTGACCAGTCGGTGCGTATGCCAGGGAGCGATCGTCAGCACTGGGAAGGAAATGGCCTCTCTGAGCGGGACTCTGCAAATACATTTGCTAGTTTGCTGCTGGCTAGTCTGTTCTTCATTCTGCTCTATCATTTTTTTGAATCTGGAAATAGATAGAAGGGCCTCAGACCTTGTACTGGCTTCAGAAGGGGCTGGATAAGGTTCCAAGATAACTTACTGGTTGGAGTATCTCCAGAAGTCAATACAAGGAGGAGCTGCTTGCCCTGTCTTTCAGCTCAGAGCTGGACCTTCCCCTGCAATTGTGCTGGGCCCTTTGAAACTCACTAGGACAAAAAGATAGGCAGGAAGTTTGTCTGACTGCTGACAAATGTATTTGAGGCCTATCAGTGAATCAACGGAAATGTTAGGAGGAAATGTACTTGCTGTCAGTTGTCATACTTTGATGTCATCTCTGTGTGCTGAAATTCTTGGTAAATTTCCATATTATTAGACTTCTGTTCATTCATGAAGCCCTCTTCTTGGGAACAGGAACAGAGAGATTCTTAAATCCTGATATGGCTGTGATTCTCACATCTTTTTTCACTTCTCTTTGTCTCCTCCTTAGGTCCCGGATGTGTCTCACTTGCTGAAGCCCCTCATGAACAAGCATGCTGTGCATCACAGACTTTTGATTTGTTCACTGGTGGGAAAAGGAACTGTTTCCTTGACAACAGTTGGGCTTTGCCTTCCATTTCTATGACAGCCAATAAATCTCCTTTGTTATATTTTTGCATCTCATGTCTCAGTGATAAGCGGAGAGGAGGGCCTGATAAAAGGATGGGCTTGTCGAGGTCCCACTCATGGGCAGAAGACAAAATATCTTTATTCCACTTTTCCTCCAGGGTGCCCACTGGCAGGCACACACATTTCTCCTTTACTCCGTTGTATCTTTTCAAGAACCCTGTGTGATAGATAAAGCTGAGGGAGAGACCGAGTGTCCCAGGTCACCCTGAGATTTTATGGGCAGAGGGGGTTTGAACCCAGGTCTCACTAATCTTAGCTAAAAAAAAACAAAAAAAACCCAAAACACCACAGTGAGTACCTTAGAGTGTTATGCTTTGGGGGCAGAGATGATCTCTTGGGCGTCCTTCAAAGTAGCGGGATAGTGGTGGGACTGACCACACTGTGTAATCTGACCAAACTCTGCATGTCCTGTTACTTAAACCTTGGCTAATACCATTGGACAAGGGCAATGTGAATCTTGACCAGTCATTTGGGACCCTCTTATATTAAGCAAAACTCCAGCATGGATTACTGAACTAAGCATCTCTATAGAACAAATGTAGAGTCCAGTGGCACCTTTAAGACCAACAAAGGTTAATTCAAGGTATGAGCTTTCGTGTGCAAAGCACACTTCCAAAGACATCGGAACAGCAGATGAGGTTCTAAATTTATAGACAGGGATTTAACAGCCAATTAACATGTAACATGATGATGTTTAAGTTATGCAAAGTGAAAAAATAAGTATGTCACAGTTGTTTACCTGATAACCTTTACAACTGTTGACCTGATACCCTTAACTTGTTATTTAGCTTTTCACTTTGCATGACTTAAACATCATCATGTTACATGTTAATTCGCTGTTAAATCCCTGTCTATAAGTTTAGAGACTCATCTGCCATTCCAATGGTTTTGAAAAAGTGTGCCCTGCACACGAAAGCCCATACCTTGAATAAACCTTTGTTGGTCTTAAAGGTGCCGCTGGACTCTAAATTTATTCTTCTGCTTCAGACCAACATGGCTGCTACCTGGATCTAAGCATCTCCATGACGGTTTTGTAACTCCGAATGTTGTCTATGGTTGTGATCTGCTAGCCAGCATTCACAGGATAATGATTTCCTCTGAGAAGAAAGCTCCTTGCTGGATTAGCATGCCTGCAGTTGGTTGCTGGGAGTTGACTTTCAGTCACCGGAGGCAGGACTTTGGGCTGGTGCTTCCTTAGATTAGGTAAAGGTTCCCTTGCTCGAAAGCCAGTCGAGTCCGACTCTAGGGTTGCAGTGCTCATCTCAAAGCCGATGAGCCAGCACTGTCTGAAGACGTTTTCCGTGGTCATGTGGCGGCATGACTAAACACCAAGGCGCACGGAACGCTGTTCCCTTCCCACCGAAGTGGTACCTATTTATCTACTTGCAATTTCTTGCTTTCGAACTGCTAGGTTGGCAGGAGCTGGAGCTAGAGACGGGAGCTCACTGCATAGAAGAAAACCTGACATTAAGCAAGGAAGCTTCCTGGGGGAGGGGACATTAACTCCCTGCGTTCTCTGAAGGCCCACTGGACAATAGGAGTTATTACACGTTCAGTCGCACAGTCGAGTCCGACTCTTCGCAACCCCATGGACCAAGTCACGCCAGGGCCTCCTGTCTTCTGTCCTCTGAAGTTCACTCAATTTCATGTTCGTTGCATCTATGACACTGTCTAACCATCTCATCATTTGCCGTCCCCGTCTTCTTTGACCTTCAGTCTTTCCCAGCATCAGGGTCTTCTCCAGACAGTGCTCCCTTCTCATTGGGTGGCCAAAGTATTTGAGCTTCAGTTTCATTATCTGGCCTTCCAGGGAACAGTCAGGGTTGATTTCTTTTAGGAGAGGAGTGGGGAATCAAACCCGGTTCTCCAAGATTAGAGTCCGCGCACTTAACCACTACACCAGACTGGCTCACACGGTGGCTTGCTACCGAGATAAGTTGAAACAATAATAGTTCAAAGGTAATTAACACACGTCAGCAAAAAAAGCAGCAGCAATCAAAAATGAAGACGACCCCCCCCCATCATCGCCTTAAGAATAGCAGCTGTAGCAATGAAACCAAATAACACTGCTGCACAACCTAATGCTGATTTATAAGCATAGAAGAAAACCTGACATTAAGCAAGGAAGCTTCCTGGGGGAGGGGACATTAACTCCATGCGTTCTCTGAAGGCCCACTAGACAATAGTTTTTACACATTGCTGGAAGGCTATCAGCGAGATGGCCACCTTTGTCTCCAGGGGATGGAGTTCCAAAGTTCAAAACTCCACAGTGGAGAAGACCCCTTTTGCAGTGCCCAGGAGTCTCACTTCATGTCACGTCAGTGCATGGAGCGGGCAAACCCCCAAAGTTCTCAAGCCATGGAGAGGGCCACAGGGGTGTAGGCAGTCCCTCAGGTCCCCTGGTAACAAGAGTGGTCCGCATCAACACTCAGCTGAACCAAGGGGCAAACTGGGAGTCAATGTAGCTGGGGGGGGGCTATGATCTCTGCAGTGATTACTGACCCATTTTTCAAAAGTGGCCCCACCCCACATCCAAGGGTTAACAAGTGTCCGCAGGACGGGGAGCAGTGTGTTCCCTCTAAGCTGAGTTAGGGTGAGCCAGCTCTCAGTTTTTTAGCCTCCGGCTCACACATTTTTGTCTTAGCCCAGGAAGGAGGGCTCCAGAGCAAACGAATCTATGCAGCAGCCAGATCGCTGGCTCACAACTTTAATGCCAGTAGCTCACAAAGGAGAATTCTTGCTCACAAGACTCCACAGCTTAGAGGAAGCATTGCACTGGGGGGGGGTTGTTCTTAGTAGCCCTGTTCCTTTTGGTTGGCAGTTGCAGCATTTTGTCTTTCCTTTTATTTTGCTGCCATCTGGTGCCAGTACCTGTGTATTACCAGGACAGGTTTTCTTGGTTATCTTTTCAGAGGGGTAGCCACGTTCATCAGTAGAAGAACTAGATAGTAGATAGTCATACTAGATACACGGGTATTTGACGTAGGTAGCTTTGATTCTTGAAAGCTTATACCCCCAAAATCTCATCGGTCTCCAAGCTGCCCCTGGACTTGAATCTAGCTCTTCTTGATTATGTTATCTGAGAAAGTAGAACAACTCTCAGAAGTTCTTAAAAAATCTTGTCAGCACGTCCAGGAGCAAAACTGATGCTCATGAATTCAACCTCCCACGTGGTTCCACTGACTAATAATGGCTCTTCTCTTAGTTTGGTGTAGGACCGGGTTTGATTCCCCACTCCTCCATATGCAGCTGCTGGTGTGACCCTGGGTCAGTCACAAGTTCTCTCAGCTGTTCTCTCAAGGGCAGTTCTTGAGAGACCTCTCTCAGTCCCACCTACCTCACAGGGTGGCTGGTGTGGTGAGGGGGAGGGAAAGGAGACTGTAAGCTGCTCTGAGACTCCTTTGGGTCTGAGTCTCCTCTATTGAAACTGAAATTTGTTAATTCAAGACCCACCTTCCAAAGCGAGCCATGGTAGCAAGGTGAGTGTTTGCACAACATGAATTCTAATGACCAGTAGGGAACAGAAGGCAGTGCTCCCAGGACTAAACGACCTCAGCTATACAGACAGAATGTTATTTATTAGAATGGTCCCCTTCATCTCCTCTTAAGATTCTTCCAAGGCCCCTTCCCAACAGCAAATGGGAGATTCTTCCAGAGACCCCGGGACAGTCACCTGTTTCCTGATAAAAGTGCAAAAAGGAGCAGATCCCAGCTCTTTATGCTCCTTTTAGACCCCACGGCACAGACAGTGGCGAGTGGTATTTGAGATGGTGGACCTCCTGATGGCACTGGTATTTCTGGCCACTGTGACACAGACTGTTGGACTGGATGGGCCTTTGGCCTGATCCAACACTGGCGTCTCTTATGTTCTTATGAGATTTGACACCCCTCAAATATAGCTACAAGGGGAGGGGGTGGAGGAAGATGAGAAGGGAGGAGCCCCATGTGAACCCTGTGCCCAGTCTTGCAAAGACTGCCATGCGACCTACAAAACGTTTGAACTGAGGTTCATTGACTGACTTTGGATGCCTGATTTTCTTAGGCTAGGGTGGGACTTCAGTGATCGGTCTTTCAGAGAATCAAGGACTTTGGAAATGCCTTTTAGTGAAGGCCTCGCTCTCTGGCATGTACAACGCTAAAGCTTCCAGACCGCTTTAGGGATACCAGCTCTCACGTGTAAACACTTCCATAGCTGATCCTGCAAAAAGAAACCCCCGAAACGGGTGGCACAGTGTCCTGTGGTACCCGGAGAAGTGAGCAGTGACTCGTGAAAGCTCATCCCCTACCACAAATTTTGTTAGTCTTTACGGTGCCACTGGACTCTCACCACTGCTCTGCCCTAGGCAGCTCAGTCAGTAGGGTTGTCAGAATGTGAGACTGTAGCCTTCTGCAGAGCTCCTTACGTTTTCCCAAGCTGAGCAGAAGCAAAATCAAATATGCTAGAAGTTACTATAAGTATGCACGCTTGCACGCAAGTTACCGAATGGCTCGGAATTCTTGATTTGTTAAAACTTTTGCTCCAGTTACCCACAAGCTGGGTGCATAAGGAAGGCTCTGCACTAGAACTTCCATTGAGAGCCTTTGCATATCGAGCGTTTGCACGCATCCAGAAAGGCAGGAGAGAAGATCCCTGTTTCACAAGGCATGCTTCCTTCGCCTCCCATGTCAATCCCACAAAATCACTCAGCCTTTTGGCTGTATAATTCACTGTGAGTTCTGTCCAGATAACCTGTCTTTGGTACCTGACCACAGTCGGCATATTTTGGACATGGAAAATGAGTCAGTAACTGGTATATTCCTTCAAAGCGCAGGGGATCTGTTTGCCCCTTTTCTTTTTTCCAGCCCGCCCACAACTAAAGGAACCGCAAAGATATTCATAGTTCTCGCAGCCTTTAGGTGGTGATAAACTTAGCTGTATTGATCTTGTGTATTTGTGGCATTTTGTGTTGGTGTGTTGCTTTGCACC